ACTCAATGATACATTAAAGTCTAGGTTCGAACTATCGAGAAATAAAAAAATTGAACCATCAGAATCTATAAATCGACAAATCGAGAATTCAAAAAAATTGAAAAATCGAAAAATTGAGAAATTGAAAAACCGAAAAATTGATAATTCGGTAAAATAAAATTCAAAAAATTGAAAACTTGAAGAAAATTTAAAATCCCAAAACTGAAACACCGAAAAACTGAAATTGAAAAATTGAAGAATCAAAACACTGAAAAATTCCAAAACTAAAATATCAAAAATTGGGACATCGAAAGTTGACAAATCGAAAAATCGAAAAGCCGAAAAATCGAAAATTCGAAAAATTGAGAAATCTAAAAATATTTATACAATTTTGATTTTTTCTCAAAATTTTCGATGTCTAGCATAAAAATTTAACACGGATGTATAAAAAATTCTTTACGCAACCGTTTTTCCGGAATCGACCGTTGAAATATCGAAATTTTTAGAAATTTTCAAAAATTCGGATTTCCTACCGATTCTTTCGAAAATGTTGCTCCGTGACCACCAACACGCTATATTTTTGGAATCAGCATGTCGAGATTTACGTACCTGAATTTTTTCGCAATTTTTAGACAACTTTTTTAAAAGTGAAATTGTTTCAATGGTCCCCCCTTCTTCAAATTTCGGCAAATTGTTGACATTTTCGAAACTTAACTAAACACATTTTCTCGTAGATTTCGAGCTCGAGAACTCACTTCGGGCATCGTTTGTTTAATAACTGCAACCGAAAGATTGAAAACTCGTGAAAACGCAAACCAAAAAATTGCTAAATGTAAAAACTGGAACATCAAAAAACTTGAAAATCAAAAACTGAAAAATTTTAAAATGAAAACTTGAGTTGTAAAATTGAAGAAAAAGAAAATGAAAAATTGCAAAATCGCAATCGAAAAATTGATGAAAGAAAAAATGAAAAGAATTGAAATTGGAAAACAAAAAATTAAAAAATCGAAAAATTGTAAAAGTGAAGAAATTGAACAATCGAAACGAAAAGTTGCAAATCGAAAAATTAAAAATTGAAAATTCGAAAAACTCAAATCGAAAAATTGCAAAATCTAAAACTCGTGAAATGGAAAAATTATACAGGTGTTCAAAAAATGACGGACTAACTCAATTATACATTAAAGTCTAGGTTCGAACTATCGAGAAATAAAAAAATTGAACCATCAGAATCTATACATCGACAAATCGAGAATTCAAAAAAATTTAAAAATCGAAAAATTGAGAAATTGAAAAATCGAAAAATTGATAATTCGGTAAAATAAAATTCAAAAAATTGAAAACTTGAAGAAAATTGGAAAATCCCAAGACTGAAACACCGAAAAACTGAAATTGAAAAATTGAAGAATCAAAACACTGAAAAATTCCAAAACTGAAATATCAAAAATTGAGACATTGACAAATCGAGAAATCGAAAAGCCGAAAAACCGAAAATTCGAAAAATTGAGAAATCTAAAAATATTTATACAATTTTGATTTTTTCTCAAAATTTTCGATGTCTAGCATAAAAATTTAACACGGATGTATAAAAAATTCTTTACGCAACCGTTTTTCCGGAATCGATCGTTGAAATATCGAAATTTTTAGAAATCTTCAAAAATTCGCATTTTCTACCGATTCTTTCGAAAATGTTGCTCCGTGACCACCAACACGCTATATTTTTGGAATCAGCATGTCGAGATTTACGTCCCTGATTTTTTTCACAATTTTTAGACAACTTTTTTAAAAGTGAAATTGTCTCAATGGTCCCCCCTTCTTCAAATTTCGGCAAATTTTTGACATTTTCGAAACTTAACTAAACACATTTTCTCGTAGATTTCGAGCTCGAGAACTCACTTCGGGCATCGTTTGTTTAATAACTGCAACCGAAAGATTGAAAACTCGTGAAAACGCAAACCAAAAAATTGCTAAATGTAAAAACTGGAACATCAAAAAATTGGAAAATCTAAAAACTGAAAAATTTTAAAATGAGTTGTAAAATTGAAGAAAAAGAAAATGAAAAATTGCAAAATCGCAATCGAAAAATTGATGAAAGAAAAAATGAAAAGAATTGAAATTGGAAAACAAAAAATTAAAAAATCGAAAAATTGTAAAAATGAAGAAATTGAACAATCGAAACGAAAAATTGAAAATTCGAAAAACTCAAATCGAAAAATTGCAAAATCTAAAACTTGTGAAATGGAAAAATTATACAGGTGTTCAAAAAATGACGGACTAACTCAATGATACATTAAAGTCTAGGTTCGAACTATCGAGAACTAAAAAAATTGAACCATCAGAATCTATAAATCGACAAATCGAGAATTCAAAAAAATTTAAAAATCGAAAAATTGAGAAATTGAAAAATCGAAAAATTGATAATTCGGTAAAATAAAATTCAAAAAATTGAAAACTTGAAGAACATTGGAAAATCCCAAAACTGAAACACCGAAAAACTGAAATTGAAAAATTGAAGAATCAAAACACTGAAAAATTCCAAAACTGAAATATCAAAAATTGAGACATTGACAAATCGAGAAATCGAAAAGCCGAAAAATCGAAAATTCGAAAAATTGAGAAATCTAAAAATATTTATACAATTTTGATTTTTTCTCAAAATTTTCGATGTCTAGCATAAAAATTTAACACGGATGTATAAAAAATTCTTTACGCAACCGTTTTTCCGGAATCGACCGTTGAAATATCGAAATTTTTAGAAATTTTCAAAAATTCGGATTTCCTACCGATTCTTTCGAAAATGTTGCTCCGTGACCACCAACACGTTATATTTTTGGAATCAGCATGTCGAGATTTACGTCCCTGAATTTTTTCGCAATTTTTAGACCACTTTTTTAAAAGTGAACATTTTTCAATGGTCCCCCCTTCTTCAAATTTCGGCAAATTTTTGACATTTTCGAAACTTAACTAAACACATTTTCTCGTAGATTTCGAGCTCGAGAACTCACTTCGGGCATCGTTTGTTTAATAACTGCAACCGAAAGATTGAAAACTCGTGAAAACGCAAACCAAAAAATTGCTAAATGTAAAAACTGGAACATCAAAAAATTGGAAAATCAAAAACTGAAAAATTTTAAAATGAAAACTTGAGTTGTAAAATTGAAGAAAAAGAAAATGAAAAATTGCAAAATCGCAATCGAAAAATTGATGAAAGAAAAAATTAAAAGAATTGAAATTGGAAAACAAAAAATTAAAAAATCGAAAAATTGTAAAAATGAAGAAATTGAACAGTCGAAACGAAAAATTGCAAATCGAAAAATTAAAAATCGAAAATTCGAAAAACTCAAATCGAAAAATTGCAAAATCTAAAACTCGTGATGTGGAAAAATTATACAGGTGTTCAAAAAATGACGGACTAACTCAATGATACATTAAAGTCTAGGTTCGAACTATCGAGAAATAAATAAATTGAACCATCAGAATCTATAAATCGACAAATCGAGAATTCAAAAAAATTTAAAAATCCAAAAATTGAGAAATTGAAAAATCGAAAAATTGACAATTCGGTAAAATAAAATTCAAAAAATTGAAAACTTGAAGAAAATTGGAAAATCCCAAAACTGAAACACCGAAAAACTGAAATTGAAAAATTGAAGAATCAAAACACTGAAAAATTCCAAAACTGAAATATCAAAAATTGAGACATTGACAAATCGAGAAATCGAAAAGTCGAAAAATTGAAAATTCGAAAAATTGAGAAATCTAAAAATATTTATACAATTTTGATTTTTTCTCAAAATTTTCGATGTCTAGCATAAGAATTTAACACGGATGTATAAAAAATTCTTTACGCAACCGTTTTTCCGGAATCGACCGTTGAAATATCGAAATTTTTAGAAATTTTCAAAAATTCGCATTTCGTGCCAATTCTTTCGAAAATGTTGCTCCGTGACAATCAACACGCTATATTTTTGGAATCGGCATGTCGAGATCTACGTTTCTGAATTTTTTCACAATTTTTAGACAACTTTTTTAAAAGTGAAAATTTTTCAATGGTCCCCCCTTCTTCTAATTTCGGCAAAATTTTGACATTTTCGAAACTTTACTAAACACATTTTCTCGTATATTTCGAGCTCTAGAACTCACTTCCGGCCTCGTTTGTTTGATAAATGCAACCGTTTTTCCGGAATCGACCGTTGAAATATCGAAATTTTTAGAAATTTCCAAAGATTAGCATTTCGTACCGATTTTTTCGAAAATGTTGCTCCGTGACCATCAACACGCACTATTTTTGGAATCAGCACGTCGAGTTCTACGTCCCTGAATTTTTTCACAATTTTTAGACAACTTTTTTAAAAGTGAAAATTTTTCAATGGTCACCCCTTCAAATTTCGGCAAATTTTTGACATTTTCGAAACTTGACTAAACACATTTTCTTGTAGATTTCGAGCTCTAGAACTCACTTCCGGCATCGTTTCTTTGATAGGTGCAAGCGTTTTTCCGGAATCGACCGTTGAAATATCGAAATTTTTAGAAATTTTCAAAAATTCGCATTTCGTGCCGATTCTTTCGAAAATGTTGCTCCGTGACTATCAACACGCAATATTTTTGGAATCAGCACGTCGAGATCTACGTCCCTGAATTTTTTCACAATTTTTAGACAACTTTTTTAAAAGTGAAAATTTTTTGAAATTTCCAAAAATCCTATCAAAAATGTATATTCTACTTACGATTTTCTTTTTACCAGCATAAACCAATGTAATTTGTCGCGCACAATGAACTGCCTTTCCGCCTAAACAATGACTGAACTCGATGTAGATAACAACGTGACGAAACAGCGATAAAAAAAATCAAAAAGAACGTTATTTCTGCGTAAATCAAAACCCGATTTGATAAACATTGTCGGCATTGTTTACTTTCGATCCATCCGATTGGCGATAAAAATCATGACATCGCTAATCCGTGCTTCCCGCACATCACGGATGTAACCTCAACCATTGTCCCGAAAAAAAATCCCCATCACTCACTCAACGCCGCCATCGTCTTCGTCTTCCCCTTGGCCACCTCCGACGGCTTCAGCGTCGGCTCCTCCACGATCTCCACCACCTCGGCGCCGCGCGGCTCGTCCTCCTCCCTGCGCTCCACCGGCGGTGGAGGCGGCGGCGGCGGCGGGCAGATGTCGCCCGGCCCCGACGTCACCCGCTTCAGCGCCTTGCCGCCGCCGGCGGTCTTGGGCGGCATCGAGTGCCGCTGCGCCAGCTTGGCCTTGTCGCCGTCGTCGTCGTTGGACGCGCTGGAGGCGGCCGACGAGTCCGGGCTCTTGCTCTTCTTCTCGTACTTCTGCGGCTTGGGCAGGAACTCGTTGGACTTCTTGGGGGCGGCGCCGTTGAGCTTGACCACCACATTGCAGCCCGAGTTGGAGGAGCTCGCCGAGCCCGAACGGCTGTGGGAGCCGCTGTCGCGGGAACGGGAGCGAATGTTGGACTGCTTGTCGGGCTTCTTGGACGACTCCTCGCGGACGAGGTAGATGTCTTCGTAGTCGTGCTCGTGGTCGCCGGAGCGCTCGGACAGGTCTGAGGAGGAGAGGTTCTCGTCTGACCCGGCTCCGCTGCTGCTGGAGTGCACTTCCACTTTTACTGGGGACAGAGAACGGTTTTAGTGCGGCGCGGACAATGGGTGGGCTGGGGGAGGGGGGGGAGGATTTCACGGCTGGGGCATGGGAAAACGATGGAAGATGGAGAGGATTGTGGGTTGTTTAAGGTTAAACGGGGAATTTTATTGTTCTAGGAAATTGTTAGACACATAATCTCCGAAACTACTAGACCGATTGTTATCAAATCATATGTACAACGCCAATGGGATAACGTCATCTCTAAAATTTACAATTTTTTTTAAATTTTATAAAATAAGATACTCCTGCACTTGTGACGTATGAATTTGTGAAATTTCGAAAATCTTTGATATAAGGATTTTTCGTTTTTTTTTTCTTAGATTTTAGAATTTTTTGATTTCATAATTTTTCGTTTTTTCAATTTAACTTTTTTTCAATTTCTCGACTTCCAAATTTTGGAATTATAGTTTTTCTTTTTCAATTTTTCAGGTTGTCAACTTTTAATTTTTCGATTTTTACAATTTTTCGTTTCCTCAATTTCTCAAATTCTTAATTTTTATTTTTCATTTTTCCGTTTTTTTAATTTTTATTTTCTCGATTTTATTCCGCAATTTTTCGGTTTTATATTTTTTTATCTTTTTTCAATGTTTCTTTCGGTTTTATAATTTTTCGATTGTTCAATTTTTCAAGTTTTTGATTTTTATTTTTCGTTTTCCCGACTTTTAATTTTCACTTTCTGGATTTTACATCAATTTTTCGTTTTTTCCTTTCTTTTATTTTTCATTGTAATTTTTTTGATTTTATAATTTTTTATTCAATTTTTCAATTTGCAATTCCTCGATTTTGCAGTTTTTAAATTTTTCAATTTTACAATTTTTGGATTTCCACTTGTCCGATTTTCCGATTCCTTTTTTTCTTACAATACACATTTCGTGTTTTCGATTTTTAGGTTTCTCAATTTTTAATGTTTCAGTTTTTGAATTTCTCGTTTTTTCAATTTTTCAAGTCTTATTTTCCAATTTTTAGATGTTTCAAAATTTTCATATTATATTTTTTTGTTTATTCAATTTTTTCACTTTTTGATTCGGAAAATTGCAAAGTCGAGAAACTAAAAAATCGGAAAAAATTGAAAAATCGAAAAACTGGAAAACCCAAAAATTGTAAAATCGTCAAAATTGTAAAGTCGAAAGCTGTAAAAATGGAATAATTCTAAAATTGTGAAATTCAAAAAGTAAAAGCAACTATTATTACAAACTGAAAATGAAAACTAGAAAAACTGAAAACCAAAAATTGAAGAAACGAAAAATTAAAAATTCAAAAATTGAAAAATCGAAAAATTGAAAAATCCCACAACTGAAATATTTCACATTGAAAAACAAAATTATAAAATCGAAACGTTGAAAAATCGAATTTTTGTAAAAATAATGAAAATAAAAACCTGAAACAAAAAATTGCAAATCGATACATTGAAGAAACGAAAAATTGAAAACACAAATTTAAAAAACAAAACATTAGAAAATCGGAACAAACGAAAAATTGCAACTCGAAAATTTGAAGAAAAGAAAAATTAAAAAATTGCAAAATCTATAAATTGAACGAAAAACTGCAAAAATTAAAACAAAAATTTGAAAAATCGAATGACTGGAAAAACAAAGAAAAAAAAAGAAATGACAAACTGAAAATCGAGAAAAGTTAAAAAAGATAACCCGAGAAACTCAAATCCAAAAATTCCAAAAACGAAAAATTTCAAAATCAAAAAAGTTTACAATCGAAAAATTGCAAATCGAAGAACTGAAGAAACAAAAATCAAAACAATGAAAAATAAAAAACTAGACACTAAAAGATCGAAAACATTAATGCATCCAAAAATAAAAAAAAAATGCGAAAGCATAAAAAATTGTAAAAGTGAAAAATTGTAGAATCGCCAAAATTCTAAAGTCGAAAAACTGTTAGAGTGAAATACACGAAAAATGGAAAAATTTTAAAATCGCAAAATTGAAAAAGTAAAATTTTAGAAATTATAACTATTATTACAAATTTAAAATGAACACCAGAAAAATTGAAAAATTCTAAAATTGAAATATCCAAAAAGTGATAATTCTGTATAACAAAACACAAAAAATGGACAAAGCGAAGAAAAATAGGAAAATCCAAAAACTGAAAATAGAAAATACAAAAAAAAATGAGAATCTGAGAAATTGAAAAATTGAAAAACCGAATTAATGAAAAACTTTTTTAATTGAAAAATGAAAAAATTTTGAAATCGTAAAATTGAAAAAGTAAAAATTTTTGATAATTATTTTTACATATTTAAAATGAAAATTGAGAAAATTGAAGAAACGAAAAATTGAAAAATCGAGAAACTGAATAATCTAAAATTGAAAAAACGAAAAATTAAAAATTGAAAAATTGAAAAATCCCAAAACTGAAAAATTTCACATTGAAAAACAAAATTGTAAAATCGAACCGTTGAAAAATCGAATTTTTGTAAAAATAATGAATAAAAACTTGAAACAAAAAATTGCAAATCGAAACATTGAAGAAACGAAAAATTGAAAACACACATTTAAAAAACAAAAAACTAGAAAATCGGAACAAACGAAAAATTGCAACTCGAAAATTTGAAGAAAAGAAAAATTAAAAAAATGCAAAATCTATAAATTGAACGAAAAACTGCAAAAATTAAAACTGAAAAACAAAAATTTGAAAAATCGAATGACTGGTAAAACAAAGAAAAAAAAAAGAAATGACAAATTGAAAATCGAGAAAAGTTAAAAAAGATAACCCGAGAAAGTCAAATCAAAAAATTCCAAAAACCAAAAATTTCAAAATCAAAAAAGTTTACAATCGAAAAATTGCAAATCGAAGAACTGAAGAAACAAAAATCAAAACAATGAAAAATAAAAAACTAGACACTAAAAGATCGAAAAAATTAATGCATCCAAAAATTTCAAAAAAATGCGAAAGCGTAAAAAAATGTGAAATTGAAAAATTGTAGAATCGCCAAAATTCTAAAGTCGAAAAACTGTTAGAGTGAAATAAACGAAAAATGTAAACATTTTAAAATCGCAAAATTAAAAAAGTAAAAATTTTAGAAATTGTAACTATTATTACAAATTTAAAATGATTTTGACATTCAAAATCCAGAATTTGAAAAATCTAAAGTGGGAAAAACGAAAAATTAAAAAATCGAAAAGTTGATAAATCCAAAAACTGAAAAATTTCGCCTTGAAAAACAAAATTATAAAATCGAAACGTTGCAAAATCGAATTTTTGTAAAAATAATGAAAATAAGAACCTGAAACGAAAAATTGCAATTCAAAAAATTGAAGAAAACAAATTGAAAAACAAAAAATTATAAAATCGGAACAGACGACAAATTACAAATCGGAAGCTTGAAGAAATGAAAAATTAAAAAATCGAAAAATTAAAAATTAAAACTCCAGCAAAATTGAAACGGAAAACTGAAGAAGTTATAATTGAAAAAACAGTAAATTGAAAAATCGAATAACTGGAAAAACAAATAAAAGAAGAAACGACAAATTGAAAATCGAGAAATTGTAAAATGGAAAAATTATACAAAGTGTTTAAAAAATTCGTAAGTCTAGAGTCGAGAAAAAACTGAAAATTCTAAAAACTGTCGAGAAATCGAACAAACGAAAAATTGAAAACATCAGAATCTCGATAAATCGAGTTCAAAAAAATTTAAAAATTATAACATTGAGAAATTAAAAAATCGAAAAAGTTAAGAATAGGAAAATGGAAAAATTAAGAAATAAAAAACACAAAATTAAAATGTCCAAAAGCTGGAAAATCGAAAAATTGGGAAAACGAAAAATCGAAAAGTTGAAAAGACGAAAAATCGAAAAGCCGAAAAGTCGAAAAATTGAAACGTCAAAAAATCATCGAGAAATTGAAATATGAAAAGTAGAGAAATCGAAATGGCTAAAATTCGATAGATTGAAAAATTAAAAAATTTAAAGACGGGAAAATTGAAAAAACCGATAAGTCCAAAAGTCGAAAGATTGAGAAATCAAAACATTAAAAAAATCGATAAATGGAAAAACTGAAAAATCAAAAAATCGAAAAAGTAAAAAATCGAGAAATTGTGAAATCGAAAAATCTAAATTATTAAGAACTGAAAACTCAAAAATCGAAAAATGGAAAAATTGAAAAATCAAAAAATCTAAAATTTAAAAAGTCGAAAAATCGAAAAGGTAGAAGATCGGGAAACTGAGAAATCGAAAACTGAAAGAATCGAAAAACTGAAAAATCGAGAAATCGAAACACCAAAAAAATGAAAAATTGAAAAATCAAAAATTTTAGAAATAGAAAAATTGTAAAACCGATAAGCCCAAAAGTGGAAAGATTGAGAAATCAAAACATTAAAACAATCGATAAATGGAAAAACTGAAAAATCAAAAAATCGAAAAAGTAAAAAATCGAAAAATCTAAATTATTAAGAATTGAAAAATCAAAAGTCGAAAAATGGAAAAATTGAAAAATCAAAAAATCTGAAATTTAAAAAGTCGAAAAACGAAAAGTTAAAAGATCGGGAAACTGAGAAATCGAAAACTGGAAGAATCGAAAAACTGAAAAATCGATAAATCGAAACACCCAAAAAAATGAAAAATTGAAAAAACGAAAAGTCTAAAATTTAAAAATTCGAAAAATTGTAAAACCGATAAGTCCAAAAGTCGAAAGATTGAGAAATCAAAACATTAAAAAAATCGATAAATGGAAAAACTGAAAAATCAAAAAATCGAAAAAGTAAAAAGTCGAAAAATTGAGAAATCGAAAAATCTAAATTATTAAGAATTGAAAAATCAAAAGTCGAAAAATGGAAAAATTGAAAAATCAAAAAATCTGAAATTTAAAAAGTCGAAAAATCGAAAAGTTAAAAGATCGGGAAACTGAGAAATCGAAAACTGGAAGAATCGAAAAACTGAAAAATCGATAAATCGAAACACCAAAAAAATGAAAAATTAAAAAATCGAAAAGTCTAAAATTTAAAAAATCGAAAAATTGTAAAACTGATAAGTCCAAAAGTCGAAAGATTGAGAAATCAAAACATTAAAAAAATCGATAAATGGAAAAACTGAAAAATCAAAAAATCGAAATAGTAAAAAATCGAAAAATCTAAATTATTAAGAATTGAAAAATCAAAAGTCGAAAAATGGAAAAATTGAAAAATCAAAAAATCTGAAATTTAAAAAGTCGAAAAACGAAAAGTTAAAAGATCGGGAAACTGAGAAATCGAAAACTGGAAGAATCGAAAAACTGAAAAATCGATAAATCGAAACACCCAAAAAAATGAAAAATTGAAAAAACGAAAAGTCTAAAATTTAAAAATTCGAAAAATTGTAAAACCGATAAGTCCAAAAGTCGAAAGATTGAGAAATCAAAACATTAAAAAAATCGATAAATGGAAAAACTGAAAAATCAAAAAATCGAAAAAGTAAAAAGTCGAAAAATTGAGAAATCGAAAAATCTAAATTATTAAGAATTGAAAAATCAAAAGTCGAAAAATGGAAAAATTGAAAAATCAAAAAATCTGAAATTTAAAAAGTCGAAAAATCGAAAAGTTAAAAGATCGGGAAACTGAGAAATCGAAAACTGGAAGAATCGAAAAACTGAAAAATCGATAAATCGAAACACCAAAAAAATGAAAAATTAAAAAATCGAAAAGTCTAAAATTTAAAAATTCGAAAAATTGTAAAACCGATAAGTCCAAAAGTCGAAAGATTGAGAAATCAAAACATTAAAAAAATCGATAAATGGAAAAACTGAAAAATCAAAAAATCGAAAAAGTAAAAAGTCGAAAAATTGAGAAATCGAAAAATCTAAATTATTAAGAATTGAAAAATCAAAAGTCGAAAAATGGAAAAATTGAAAAATCAAAAAATCTGAAATTTAAAAAGTCGAAAAATCGAAAAGTTAAAAGATCGGGAAACTGAGAAATCGAAAACTGGAAGAATCGAAAAACTGAAAAATCGATAAATCGAAACACCAAAAAAATGAAAAATTAAAAAATCGAAAAGTCTAAAATTTAAAAAATCGAAAAATTGTAAAACTGATAAGTCCAAAAGTCGAAAGATTGAGAAATCAAAACATTAAAAAAATCGATAAATGGAAAAACTGAAAAATCAAAAAATCGAAATAGTAAAAAGTCGAAAAATTGAGAAATCGAAAAATCTAAATTATTAAGAATTGAAAAATCAAAAGTCGAAAAATGGAAAAATTGAAAAATCAAAAAATCTGAAATTTAAAAAGTCGAAAAATCGAAAAGTTAAAAGATAGGGAAACTGAGAAATCGAAAACTGGAAGAATCGAAAAACTGAAAAATCGATAAATCGAAACACCAAAAAAAATGAAAAATTGAAAAATCGAAAAGTCTAAAATTTAAAAAATCGAAAAATTGTAAAGCCGATAAGTCCAAAAGTCGAAAGATTGAGAAATCAAAACATTAAAAAAATCGATAAATGGAAAAACTGAAAAATCAAAAAATCGAAATAGTAAAAAGTCGAAAAATTGAGAAATCGAAAAATCTAAATTATTAAGAACTGAAAAATCAAAAGTCGAAAAATGGAAAGATTGACAAATCAAAAAATCTGAAATTTAAAAAGTCGAAAAATCGAAAAGTTAAAAGATCGGGAAACTGAAAAATCGAAAACTGGAATAATCGAAAAACTGAAAAATCGATAAATCTAAAATTTAAAAAATCGAAAAATTGAATAATCGAAAAAGCAGACATTGAGAAATCGAAAAAACGAAAAGTACAAAAATTTAAGAAACGAAATATTGACAAATTCTAAAATTGAAATATCCAAAAAGTGATAATTCCGTAAAACAAAACCCAAAAAATTGACAAATCGTAGAAAAATTGGAAAATCCCAAAACTGAAACATAGAAAATGCAAAAAAAAATTGAGAATGAATCTGGGAAATTGAAAAATCGAATTCATGAAAAACTTTTAAAATCCAATAATTGAAAAATGGAAAAATTCTGAAATCGTGTATTTGAAAAAGTAAAAATTTTTGAACACGATAATTATTTTTACATATTTAAAATGATAATTAAGAAAATTGAAGAAACGAGAAATTGAAAAATCAAAAATTGAAAAAAACGAAAAATTAAGAAATTTTGAGTCGAAAAAACGAAAAATTTAAAAATTTCACATTGAAGAAAAGAACAATTATAAAATCAGAAGATAAAAAACCGTAAAACTGAAAAATTATAAGTTGAACATTGAAATCTCAAATCGAAAGATTGCTAAATCTAAAAACTGAAACATCCAAAAATTGGAAAATCGAAAAACTGAAAAATTTAAAATGAACACTTGAAGAGTTGTAAAATTGAAAAAACAAAAAATTGAAAAAAAAAATCGGAACATTGCAAAATCGAAAAATTATAAAAATAAACAAAATGAACAATCGAAACGAAAAATTAAAAATCGAAAACTTGAGAAACTTTAAATAAAAAAACTAAAAAGATCTAAAAACTGAAAAAAAAATGACAAATTGAAAAGCAAAATGTTATAATATCGCAACACTGAAAAAACGAATAATTGAAAAAATAAAGAACATAAAAAAAGAAACGAAAAATTACAAATCGAATAATTAAAAATTGAAAACTCGAAAAACCCAAATCGAAAAATTGCAAAATATAAAAATTTTAAAATTGAAAAATTATACAAGGTGTTCAAAATATGACCGACCATTTCAATGAAACATGATTAAATTCACAAGTCTAGGTTCGAGAAAAAACTGAAAAATCGAACTATCGAAAAATCGAAAAATTGCAACATCAGAATCTCAATAAATCAAATCGAGAATTCAAATCAAAGAAAAATTGGAAAATCCCAAGATTGAAACACAAAAAAAAAATTGAAAAATTGAAGAATCAATAAACTGAAAAATTCCAAAACTGAAATATCGAAGAATTGAGAAATCGAAACTTGAAAAATCGGAAAATTCAAAAATTGTTACACAATTTTGATTTTTTCGCAAAAATCTCGATGTTTAGGATAAAAATTTTACACGGGTGTAAAAAAATTCTTTGTCAATTTGACGTTCACTTACAAAAACAAAATATCGATTTAGACAGACATATCAGAAAACGTAAAATCGAAAACTGAAAAATTTAAAAATGAAAAAACAACAAAAAAATGAAAAATTGAAGAAATGAAAAATCAAAAATTTGAAAACTCGAGAAATTATATGTAAATCGAAAAATTGCAAAAGAAAAAACTAAAAAATAAAAAATTGAAAAATCACAGATGGAAAAAACTGAAGAAACAAAAAAATTTAAAATTGAATAATTGAAAAATTCATCTCAAAAACGATGAGAGAGTGTTATTTACGTCGCTGGTTAGAAAAAAAAACAAACAAATTTTAGAATTTTTCAAAGAAGCGGAAATGTTGGGCTGCACTTCAGAGACAAGGGAAGTTCGACCAATTGTTGATTTATTATTATAGTTTAATTTTCAGAGGTGCCTTGGAGAAGATCAAAAATTTCGCCTCATCCCTCGACTCACCTGTGAGGGCAGAGAGAGGCTGCCTCTGCGGCGCCGCCTCGAACAAATCCTTCACTCTATTGTAGATAACCTCCTCCGGGTTGTGCAAATAGAACGACTCCCCGTTGACGCTCTCGTTCGAACTGCTTTCCGAGCCACTCGACGCGCTGCAACCGAATCAATCGAACACGAGATAACGCCAACATTAATAGATCACCTGTGCCTGTGCGTGTTCATCGGATTGATGTAGAGGCCATCCTGGGGGGCGTGCGGCGCCTCCATAGACCTGGAGTTCAAGGGCGGGTGGAGGTAGAACGGCTCGGAATTATTATTCTCGTTGCTCTGCACCGGCTTGCAGGTAGAGCAGTCGCTGCCCACGCTGTTGCCCTGCAACCGACAAGCGCTTCCTCAGTACTTCCGCCTACCCCAAAGTGCTACACTACAACCCACCATGGCGGAGATGTCGAACGAACTGTTTAGTTTTAGCAAAATCGGACCAATTTCTCCGGGTTATAATTGCGGTTTCAAAACCGAACGGTACCATTAGAATATTTTCTAATAATCGCTCGTTACTATTAATTGATCGAATTAAAGCTTGAAGTCTATTTTGTTGATTATCGGTTATATAAACGCACTCACCCTTTTCAATTGTTCACTTTTGCGAGTGCAAGAGCACGATTTGGACGACCGCTCGCCTTCCTTGTAGTCCGGAGTGGTTCCGTGCTGCACCAGGACGTTCAAACACTGGAAAGGACGATAACTCAACTTGTCGTTAAACTTGGCTTTCGCAGATGTTTACCTCGACTTGCTGGTTTTCGGCGGCGTCGTTGATGGGGCTCTTGCCGTACTTGTCGAGGGAGAGGCGAGCGCCGTGCTTGAGCAGCCAGCGGACGGTCTCGAGGTGGCCTCTGGAGGCGGCGAAGTGCAAGGGGGTGGCGCCGTCGCCGTCTCTCAGGTTGGGGTCGACGCTTTGTTCCTGGATCTGGCGGTTAAAAAGCTACATTGTAGCAAGAATTGGAGATTTAACCGTTGTTTATAACTACTCTAGTTGAAATAATGTGATATTTGGCAAATAAGTTAATTGGTTTGATAAATATATGGGTCATGCAAATTTAACACCTCGCCGCTTTAATTAATATTGATTAACCAAACTACCGGGATTATCAACAATAATAACTGAAACCATAAAAGTTATATTTATACGAGTGATAGGTTCCGGGTGGTTCAAAATGTTGCCACCGTTGATTAACTATAACTGATATTTTTACCAGTGAAGCTAACAAAGTTACCCATATTTTTTTTAATGTTTGAATTAGTGAAAATAGTTAGGTAACAGTTTAAGTAATGCTCTAATTAATTTTTAGCCGTAGAAATAAAACGGATGATAGTTAAGTGATGTTTTAACAGCAATTAATAGTTAAGCGAAATAAATCAATTGTCAATAATTTAATAAAACTGTTAAGTTTGAAGTAATTTTTTAATGGTTAGTTAAAAATTAGAGTGGAAATATTTTGAGAAGAACACGACAATAAAAAGTTGCAATGGACGTAAAACCGTCCGGATGGGTTTAGTTAAGAATACAGGGGAGACAAAAAATAACAACAATTTTATTTCAAAGAAAAGTGAAATTCAAAATGTCTGTGATCATTAAAGTCGATGGAACTCTTGTAGACTGAAAATACTTTAGGAAGAACTTAGGAAGTAATAAAATTTAAAAATTCGAAAAATTGGAAATAGAAATGTCGAATAATTGAAAAATCGAAAAGTCAAAAACAAATTGAAAAATCGAGAAATCGAAAAGACCGAAGACCGAAAATTTAAAACACCGAAAATTTGAAAAATGAAAAATCTAAATAATTGAAGAATTGAGAAACTGAAACATCGGAAAATTGAGAACTCGAAAAATGAAAAATCGGGAAATCGAAAAATCAAAAAGTCGAAAAACCAGAAAATCGATTAATCGAGAAATTGAGAAATCCAAAAATTTAAAAATCTAAAATCGAAAAACCAAAAATGTTAAAAATTGCAAAACTGAAGCATAAAAAAATTGAAAAATTAAGAAAGTTTACAATCGAAAAATTGCAAATCAAAGAACTGAAGAAACAAAATCCAAAACAATGAAAAACAGAAAACTAGACACTAAAAAATCGAAAAAAATAATGCATCCAAAAATTAAAAAAAAAATGCGAAAGCGTAAAAAAATGTAAAAGTGAAAAATTGTAGAATCGCCAAAATTCTAAAGTCGAAAAACTGTTAGAGTGAAATAAACGAAAAATGGAAAAATTTTAAAATCGCAAAATTGAAAAAGTAAAATTTTAGAAATTATAACTATTATTACAAATTTAAAATGAACACTAGAAAAATTGAAAAATTCTAAAATTGAAATATCCAAAAAGTGATAATTCTGTAAAACAAAACACAAAAAATGGACAAAGCGAAGAAAAATAGGAAAATCCAAAAACTTAAACATAGAAAATACAAAAAAAAATGAGAATCTGAGAAATTGAAAAATTGAAAAATCGAATTAATGAAAAACTTTTTCAATTGAAAAATGGAAAAATTCTGAAATCGTAAAATTGAAAAAGTAAAAATTTTTTATAATTATTTTTACATATTTAAAATGAAAATTGAGAACATTGAAGAAACGAGAAATTGAAAAATCGAGAAACTGAATAACTTAAATTATAAAAACGAAAAATTAAAAATTCAAAAATTCAAAAATTGAAAAATCCCAAAACTGAAAAATGTCACATTGAAAAACAAAATTGTAAAATCGAACCGTTGAAAAATCGAATTTTTGTAAAAATAATGAATAAAAACTTAAAACAAAAAATTGCAAATCGAAACATTGAAGAAACGAAAAATTGAAAACACAAATTTAAAAAACAAAAAACTAGAAAATCGGATCAAACGAAAAATTGCAACTCGAAAATTTGAAGAAAAGAAAAATTAAAAAATTGCAAAATTTATAAATTGAACGAAAAACTGCGAAAATTAAAACTGAAAAACAAAAATTTGAAAAATCGAATGACTGGTAAAACAAAGAAAAAAAAAGAAATGACAAATTAAAAATCGCGAAAAGTTAAAAAAGATAAGCCGAGAAAGTCAAATCGAAAAATTCCAAAAACCAAAAATTTCAAAATCAAAAAAGTTTACAATCGGAAAATTGCAAATCGAAGAACTGAAGAAACAAAAATCAAAACAATGAAAAACAAAAAACTAGACACTAAAAAATCGAAAAAAATAATGCATCCAAAAAAAAAAAAAAATGCGAACGCGTAAAAAATTGTGAAATTGATAAATTCTAATTCTAAAGTCGAAAAACTGTTAGAGTGAAATAAACGAAAAATGGAAAAATTTTAAAATCGCAAAATTGAAAAAATAAAAATTTTAGAAATTGTAACTATTATTACAAATTTAAAATGATTTTGACATTCAAAATCGAGAATTTGAAAAATCTAAAATGGAAAAAAAGAAAAATTAAAAAATCGAAAAGTTGATAAATCCAAAAACTGAAAAATTTCGCCTTGAAAAACAAAATTATAAAATCGAAACGTTGCAAAATCAAATTTTTGTAAAAATAATGAAAATAAGAACCTGAAACGAAAAACTGCAATTCAAAAAATTGAATAAAACAAATTGAAAAACAAAAAATTATAAAATCGGAACAAACGACAAATTACAAATCGGAAGCTTGAAGAAATGAAAAATTTAAAAATCTAAAATCGAAAAATCAAAAATGCTAAAAATTGGAAAACTGAAGCATCAAAAAATTGAAAAATCAAGAAATCGGAGCACAAAAAAATCGAAAAATTGAAAAATCTAAAATTTAAAAATAGAAAACAAAAAATCAGGGAATCGAAAAATCAAAAAATTAAAAAATCCCAAAATTGAAACATCGAAAAATCAGAAAACCGAAATATTATCGAAAAGTCCAAAAATCGAAAATTTAAAAAACCGAAAAATTCAAAAATCAAACACCTGAAATATCGAAGAATTGAAAAACTGAAACATCGGAAAATTGATAAACACAAAGAATGAAAAAATCGGGAAATCTAAAATCTGAAGAATCAAGAATCTAAAGAATCGAAAATTGAAAAGTCGAAAATCAAAAATTTTAAAAGTTGAAAAATTGTAAAATCCAAAATTTAAAAAATTGAAAAATTGAAAAACGGAAAAATTGGGAAATTGGAGCTTAAAAAAATCGAAAAATTGAAAAATTTAAAATTTTAAAATGGCAAAAGTAAAAGATCGAGAAAAAGTTGAAAAATCCCAAAACTGAAACATCGAAAAATTGAAATACGGAGAATTCGAAAAGTCGGAAAATCGAATATTTAAAAAACAAAAAAATTGAAAAATTGAAGAATTGAAAAAGCATCAAAAAGTTGAGAAATCGAGAAGTCGAAAAATCAAAAAGTCCTAAAACCAAAAAATCGATTAGTCCATAAATTGAGAAATCGAAAAATTTAAAAATCTAAAATTTGAACAATCGAAAAATCAAAAATGTTAAAAATTGGAAAATTAAAGAATCAAGAAGCTGAAAAATCGAGAAATCGGGGCACAAAATAATCGAAAAATTGAAAAATCTAAAATTTAAAAATGGAAAAAATAAAAAATCAGGGAATCGAAAAATCAAAAAATTTAAAAATCCCAAAATTGAAACATCGAAAAAAAGAGATATCGAAAAGTCCAAAAATCGAAAATTTAAAAAACCGAAAAATTCAAAAATCAAAAACCTGAAAATTCGAAAAATCAAACATTTTAAAAGTTGAAAAATTGCAAAATCCAAAATTTAAAAAATCGAGGAATTGAAAAACTGAAAAATTGGGAAATTGGAGTTTAAAAAAATCGAAAAACTTAAAAATCTAAAATTTTAAAATGGAAAAAGTAAAAGATCGAGAAATCGAAAAGTTGAAAAATCCCAAGACTGAAACATCGAAAATTTGAAACACGAAGAATTCGAAAAGTCGGAAAATCGAATATTTAAAAAACCGAAAAATTGAAGAATTCAAAAAAGCATCAAAAATTTGAGAAATCGAGAAGTCGAAAAATCAAAAAGTCCTAAAACCAAAAAATCGATTCATCGACAAATTGAGAAATCGAAAAAACTGGAATTTAGTAACCTGAAAAATTGAAAAATTTTAAAATAACAAAATTGAAAAATTGTAAAACTGAAACGTCGGAGATTGAGAACTCGAAAAATAAAAAAATTGAGAACTCGAAAATTTGAGGAATCAAGGAATTGGAGAATTAAAAAAACTGAAAAACCGAGAAATCGAAATATCAAAAAATTTAAAAAATTTGAAATTTGAAAAATCGAAAAATTGAAAAATCAAAAACCTGAAAAATCGAAAAATCGAAGAACGAAAAACTGAAACATCGGAAAATTGAGAACTCGAAAAATGAGTAAATCGGGAAATTGAAAATCTGAAGAATCGAAAAATTGAAAAACCGAAAATTCTAAAACTGAGAAGTTGAAAAACTTGAAAATCGGTTAATCGAGAAATTGAGAAATTGAAAAATTTTAAAATGTAAAATTTGAACAAGCGGAAAATCAGAAATGTTAAAAGTTGAAAAATTGCAAAATCCAAAATTGAAAAAATCGAAAAATGAAGAATCGAAAAACTGAAAAATCGAGAAATCGGGCCATCAAAATCTAAAATTTAAAAATGGAAAAATTGAAGCATCGAAAAGTTGAGAAATCGAAAAAACTGAATTTCAGACACCTCAAAAATTGAAAAATTGAAAAATTAAAAAAAAATTAAGAAGTCGTAAAACTGAAACATCGGAAATTTGAGAACTCGAAAAATGAAAAAATCGAGAAATTGAAAATTTGACGAATCAAGGAATTGAAGAATTTTAAACACCGAAAATTCGAAAAATCGGAAAATCGAATATTTAAAAAACCGAAAAATTGAAGAATTGAAAAAAGCATCAAAAAGTTGAGAAGTCAAAAAATCGTAAGCCCAAAAAATCGATTAATCGACAAATTAAGAAATCGAAAAAAATCAAATTTAGAAACCACAAAAATTGAAAAATTGGGGAATCAAATAATTGAATAATCACAAAATTCAAAAACCGTAAAATCTAAAGCCGAGAAGTCGAAAAATCAAAAAGTCGAAAAAACGGAAAATCGATTAATCGAGAAATTGAAAACTCGAAATTTTAGAAACGTCAAAAGTTGAAAAATTTGAAATTCAAAAAATGAAAAATCAGAAAATTGAATAATCGAAACACCGAAAAATCAAAAATCGAAAAAAAGTCGAGTGGTCAAAAAATCGAAACGGCCCAAAATTGAAAAGTCAAAAATTAAGAAATCGAGAATAAAAATAAAAAAATCGAGAAGTTGAATATATTCGAAAAATTGAAACATGAATGTTTCGATAAAACGAGGAATTGAAAAATTGAAAAATTACAAAGCTGAAATAACGAAAAATCGGCAAATTGAAAAATCCAAACATCGAAAACTGAAAAAACTGAAACATCGGGGGACGAAACATCAAAAGAACGGGAAACTAAAGAGTCGAAAAATCGCAAAATTTAAAAAATTGAAAAATTAAAATATTGAAGAATACAGAAATCGAAAGATCAAAAAAAAGTCCAAAAAACAAAAAATCGGAAAATCGAAAAACTGAAGAATCGAAATATTGCAAAATTCCAAAACTTTAATATCGAAAAATTGAAAAATCGAAAAAAATTGAAGAAATGAAAAAAAATACTTGAAATTGGAGCATCGAAAAATTGAAAAATCTACTCTTTAAAGATCGAAAAAGTAAAAAATCGAGAATCGAGAAGTCGAAAAATCTAAAACCGGAAAAATATTAGAAACCTGAAAAACTGAAAAACTGAAGCATCGAAAAGTCGAGACATCGAGAAATCAAAAAGTTGTAAAACCAAAAAATCGTTTATCGAGAAATTGAGAAATCGAAAAATCGGAAATTTAGAAACCTCAAAAATTGAAAAATTGAAAACTCGAAACATCGGACAATTGAGAATTCGAAAAATAACAAAATCGAGAACTCGGAAATTTGAAAAATCAAGAAATTCAAGAATCAAAAAACTTAAAAACCCGACAATCTAAAATCAAAAAGTCGAAAAACCGAAAAATCGATCAATCGAGAAATCGGAACTTTGGAAACGTCGAGAATTGAAAGATTGATAAACCTAAAAATTAAACAATCGGAAAATCAAAAATTCCAAAAATCGAAAAACAGCTAAATTCAAAATTTGAAAAATCGAATGGGAAAATTGAACAATCGAAAAATTGAAAAATCGAGAAACTGAAAAATTCCAAAAAAATTGACCAATTGAAAATTCAAACATCAAAAAATTGAAAAACTGAAACGTCGAAAAACGAAACATCAAAAGAAATCGACGAAAAAGTCCAGGAGTCGAAAAATCGAAAAATTAAGAAGTCGAAATTACCCAAAATCGAAGTCAAAAACTGAAAAATTGAAGAATCAATATATTGAAAAATCGAAAACAAGTTAAAAAATCGAAAAATTGAAAGATCGAGAAATTAAAGCATCAAAATATCGAAAAATTAAATTTAAATAATTAAAGTCCAACATAATTTGTAAAAGAGTCCTCCTTGGAAAACCTTTTTTATTTTTTTATTAAGATATCACCTGCCTCAACATCTCTCAATTATTATTTATGTTGTTATTGTGGTCCTAGGCGAATGCGCTGTAGTCCCGTCTTGTTGAAAATAGCCTACCTAAATGTTTAAAAAAAATGGTCTAAAGAATTTATACAGTACTCAGAGCGGTGACCTGATGCTTGTGAGGTCATGGCGGGTCAGCTCAGGTTAACGCATCCAAATTTTTGGCAAAAAAATCAAATTTGATAACATTTTACAGTTTAACTTTGAAATTGCAACATAGAATACTTTGAAATCTTCCAGGCGTTTTAAGGCAGGGTGGTAAATTTTTGAATATTTAATATATCAATTTTCGGATTTTTCACTTTTTTATTCTGCAGTTTTTCGACTTTTTCAGTTTATCAATTTCCAGTTTTTCGATTAAATTTGTGGATTTTTCAATTTCTCGATTAATCGTTCTTTTGATTTTGCACTTTTTCTATTCTTCATTTCTTGGATTCCTGAATTTTTCGATATTTCAGTTTTGAGATTTTTCATTGTTTAGCATTTGTCAGTTTTCTGATGTTCCGATTTCACGATCTTTCGATTTTTAATGTTTGTTATTTTTTTGACAAGTTGGCAACCTGTTTAAAATTTTATGAACACCTCAATTTTCTTAGAGAGGAGGTCACTGGCCAAAAGCAGTCTTATCTTATCAAGGACTAGTACCGCCCACCCACCCTCTATTTCCTTGGAAGATATGTTATTTGCCAAAATCAGTCTCATCTTAGCTAGTACTTGCCCAAATAAGACTGATTACAGAAAATGACGTACACTTTAAAAAAATAGAAGAAATCGAAAGTTCAAAAAAGTAAAAAAAATAAATAATAATAAAAAAATTGGCAGTAATTTTTAACTGTAAACTTTGGTACACTTACACCTCACTAACACACGTCGTTCACAAAAGTATATAAACAAAATCGCCTCAATCCCCCTCCACCACAACTACTCACCATCCACTTGACACAGTTAAGGCATCCCATCTGCGACGCCGCATGTATGGGAGCCATCCCGTCCTTGGCTCGCACATACAGCGACCCCCCGGCCTCCAGAACCAGGAACTTGAGCACGTCCAGGTGACCCTCCTGCGCCGCTAGGTACACCGGCGTGACGTCATTGTCCATCTGCGTATTGGCACTAAAACAATCGAACAACTTGTGAAGAAACGCCACCAGTTTTGACATTTCGAAGATTTCCTCAAGATTCCGTTTCGACACTTGCCATTATGGAAGTAAACGATATTAATTAATGCAACTGCACGGTCGAAAGCGCCGCTTAGAAGGTTGGCTTTGCGAAACAACTACTAATCAATATATGACTTTATTTTACAACGTAATTACAAGTATAGGTGCCGCGTAATTGGAGGATTTACGCAATCCGTACTTAGCGCATTTTTCGGCGCGCAAGAGCTCTCGGCCGTGCGCTCGAGCACCTGTCCCGAAAACCGTGGGCAGTGTCGCAACAGGTTCTATTATTTTCTAGGCTTGCCATTTTTTAGAAAGGCGTTTCCTTGCGCAAAAATGAACCTGTTTGTACCTTTGACAAGGAGGTCAGCGCGTGAACGAGAATTGCGCGATTGATGGCAGATGTCGCGGTTTAAGTACTGTTAGAAGATATTAGAAGAAACGCAAGAATTCGTGGTGTTTTGGTTGTGGGACTTTCGATTTTGTTTGCGTAATTTTCTAAAGCAAAAACGAATTCGTTTCCTTGTGAAAGAAGAAAAATTGTTGGAAAGGTCGCGCTGGATTGGCTCGGAGGAATAAAAGTCGACGTAATGGGTTTAGTTGGTACTTAGGCAAGGTTTTTGCGGCGGTTTTTCAAAGAAAACAAATAATTGTTGTTAGTGGACTGCATTCTGTAGGAAGTATTTATTTCTTCATTGCCGTTTGCTGAGAAACGAGCGATTAGGCAAAAAGTGGCTGGATTGGAATAATCGGAAAATGACTTTGTGATTTTGTAATGCAACGTAGGCAGATTTGAATGACGGTTTTTCGGTCAAACCGCAGCATGAATGAATGACAATTTATTGAGAATTTTTAAACGTCTGAATTTATGGCGATTTTAATTCATTTCAAGAAATAAATAAATAAAGAAATAAAATGTAGTTAATAGTAATAATCAATGCATATCATTACTAGGTCTTAATACCCGTAATGATAGAAGTCTTGCCTGAATGCCGGTTATTTCCGGGTCAGTTGTGGGTCTTACAAATATAAAAAAATCGAAATACGAGAAATTAAAAAAATTTAAAAACCGATAAATTCAAAAATTGAGAAACTGAAAACTCCTATTCTGACAAGGCAAAAAATCCGAAAAATCAAAAATTAAACATCGAAAAATTGGAAAATCCACAAATTGAAATGTTCTACAATTGAAATATTGAAAACTTGAGAAATCGAAAACTTGAAAAACCGAGAAATCGTAGGATCGAGAATAGAAACATCAAAAAATCGAAAAATTTCAAAATCTAGAAATTGAAATGCTGAAAAATTAAAACATCGACAACTTGAAAAATTGGGAAATCTAAAAATTGAAAAATCGAAAAATCAAAAATTTAAAAAACTGAAAAATTAACATATTAACAAGTCAAAGATTCGAAAAATTGGAAAATCGAGAAATTGAAATATCAAAAATTCGCAAACAATGAAAAATCTGAGAAGTTTAAAAATCGAAAAACCGAAAAATCAAAAGTTAGAAATTGAAAAGTCGAGAAATAGAAAGATAAAAATCGAAAAATTGATAAATTTGATATGTAAAAATTAAAAAAGTGAAAAAGTAAGAATTCGGAAAATCGAAAGGTCGAAAAATGAAAAAATCGATGAAAAATTGGAGAATCGAGAAATTGAAAAATCGAGAATTCGAAAATGGAAAAATTGAACAATCAAAATATTGAAAAATTCCAAAAATTCCAGAAATATAGAAATCAAAAAATCGAAAATTTAGAAACCTCAAAAATTGAAAAATAGTAATAATAATAATAAGTCATTTATCGTTCTATAAGGATAATACCCTATAGAACAAAATTCCGGATTACAGCAAAGCTGATATATCATATATATAAATTGAAAAATCAAAAACTTTAAAAATAAAACAACTGACAAATCGAGGAATTTAAAACTGAGAAGTCGAAAAATGAAAACCAAAAAATGAAAAATCGAGAAACGAAATCCGAAAAGTCGAAAAATCGTAAGATCTACCAGGGAAACATAAAAAATCGAAATATTTAAAAATCCAGAAATTGAAATGTAAAAAAACTGGGAAATCTAAATATTGAAAAATTGAAAAACCAAAAATTTAATAATTCGAAAAATTGAATTTGAAAGACATAACAAACAACTGATAAATCGAAAAATCGGAAAATCTAAAATTTAAAAAACTGAAAACAAATATTGACAAATCAAAAATTCGGGAAACTGGAAAATCGAGAGTCGAAATTTCTAAAATTCGTAAACATGAAAAATCTGAAGTGTGAGAAACGAAACAAAGATCGAGAAATCGAGAACTCAAAAAGTCGAGAAGTTGAAAAATCGAAAAGTTAAAAATTGAAAAACTGGAAAGTCGAAAAATCAAAAACTGAAGAATATTGAAAAATTTCAAAGCTGGAATATCGAAAATTGAAAAATCGAAGAAAAATGAGAGAATCGAGAAATTGAAAAATCGGGAATTCGAAACATCAAAAAATCGAAAAATTGAACAATCGAAATATTGAAAAATTCCAAAACTGGAATTTCGAAAAATTGAAAAATCGAAGAAAAACTGAAGAATCAAAGAACTGAAAAATCTTAAATCTGAAACATCGAAAAATTGGAAAATTGAAATGTCAAAAAATAGAATATTTAAAAAACATTAATCGAAAGAACAAAATCCAGAAAATTCGAAAAATTGAAGAATATAAAAAACTGAAATTTTGAAAAATCGATTGTTCTAGAAATATAGAAATCAAAAAATCGAAAATTTAGAAACCTCAAAAATTGAAAAATAGTAGTAATAATACATAATAATAAGTCATTTATTGTTCTATAAGGATAATATACAATACACTATAGAACAAAATTTCAGATTACAGCAAAGCTGATAATAATGTATGCATCAAAAATTTTAAAAATCAAAAACCTTAAATATCGAAAAACCTAAAACTGAGAAATCGAAAAATGGAATAAAAAAAAGGGAAAATCGAAAGTTTTAAAATTCGAAATAACGAAAAATAGAAAAATCGAGAAATTAAAATATCGAAAAATTGAAAAATCGAGAAGCGAAATCCGAAAAGTCGAGAAATCGTAAGATCTAGCAAGGAAAAAATTGAAATATTTAAAAATCCAAAAATTAAAACGTTGAAAAACTGGGAAATCTAAAAATTGAAAAATCGAAAAATCAAAAATTTAATAATTGGAAAAATTGAATTTGAAATACATATCGAAGAACCGAAATCTCGAAAAATCGAGAAACCGAAAAGTCTAAAATTTAAAAAACTGAAAAATTAAAATATTGACAAATCAAAGATTCGAAAAATGGAAAATCGAGAAATTGAAATATCAAAAATTCGTAAACATTAAAAATTTAAACTATGAGAAACGAAACAAAAGATCGAGAAATCGAGAACTCAAAAAGTCGAGATGTTGAAAAATCGAAAAAACGAAAAATCGAAAAGTTAAAAATTGAAAAATTGGAAAGTCGAAATATCAAAAACTGAAGAATATTAAAAAATTTCAAAGCTGGAATATCGAAAATTGAAAAATCGAAGAAAAATTAGAGAATCGAGAAATTGAAAAATCGGGAATTCGAAACATCAAAAAAATCGAAAAATTGAACAATCGAAATATTGAAAAATTCCAAAACTGGAATTCCGAAAAATTGAAAAATTGGAAAATCGAAATGTCAAAAAATAGAAAATCTAAAAAACATTAATCGAAAGAACAAAATCCACAAAAATTGAAAAATTGAAGAATATAAAAAACTGAAATTTTGAAAAATCGATTATTCTAGAAATATAGAAATCTAAAAATCAAAAATTAGAAACCTCAAAAAGTAAAAAATAGTAATAATAATACATAATAATAATAAGTCATTTATTGTTCTATAAGGATAATATACACTATAGAACAAAATTTCAGATTACAGCAAAGCTGATAATAATATATGCATCAAAAATTTTAAAAATCAAAAAAATGAAATATGGAAAAACCTAAAACTGAGAAATCGAAAAATGGAATAAATAAATGGGAAAATCGAAAGTTTTAAAATTCGAAATAACGAAAAATAGAAAAATCGAGAAATTAAAATATCGAAAAATTGAAAAATCGAGAAACGAAATCCGAAAAGTCGAGAAATCGTAAGATCTAGCAGGGAAAAAATCGAAATATTTAAAAATCCAAAAATTAAAACGTTGAAAAACTGGGAAATCAAAAAATTGAAAAATTGAAAAATCAAAAATTTAATAATTGGAAAAATTGAATTTGAAATACATATCGAAGAACCGAAAAATCGAGAAACCGAAAAATCTAATATTTAAAAAACTGAAAAATTAAAATATTGAAAATCAAAAATTCGAAAAATTGGAAAATCGAGAAATTGAAATCACAAAAAGTCGTAACCATTAAAAATCTGAAGTGTGGAAAACGAAACAAAAGATCGAGAAGTTGAAAAATCGAAAAACCGAAATATTGAAAAGTTAAAAACTGAAAAACTGAAAAGTCGAGAAGTAGAAAAATCGAGAAGTCCAAAAAATAAAAATTGAAGAAAATTGAAAAATCTCAACGCTAGAATATCGAAAATTAAAGAATCGAAGAAAAATTAGAGAATCGAGAAAATAAAAAATCGAGAATTCGAAACATCAAAAAATCGAAATATTGAAAAATTCCAAAACTGGAATTTCGAAAAATTGAAAAATCGAAGAAAAACTGAAGAATCAAAAAATTGAAAAATCTTAACTCTGAAACATCGAAAAATTGAAAAATCGCGAAATCGAAAAGTCAAAAAATCGAAAAATTTAAAAAACACAAAAATTGAAAGATGAAAAACCAGAAAAATCGAAAAATTGAAGAATATAAAAAACTGAAAAATCGAAAAATCTAAAACTGAGAAGTCGACACAAAAAATTGAAAACTCGGAAATTTGAAAATTAGAAATAATGAAAAAAA